AGTAGTCTCGAAGCTAGAAAATCCATTCTTGGATACCATTACAGCCCTCTCCCCAGCAAATCTGCATTTCTAAAAGTGTATGCAAATTAAAAACTCCTGATACATAAAAATTACTTCACTACATCATTGTACGACAATTCTAACTCTGCAAGCATTTTAAATTAAAAGCTTGCACATTTAAAATTGGTAGGTAAAGGGAAGAATGTCCTGAAAAACTGAGATAAATCAAAATTAGGAATGCTTTGTTACTTGTTAGCTTGTCAGTGATGAGGTTGAAAACCGTAAATGGATGTCTCAAACAGAATGACCGACTGATACACAGTCATCTTCGTATTCCTATAATATGGCCAAACCTGTAATTTTAAAGCGATTAGCTTCTTTACTCTGTAATATAAATCTGTGTCGTTATTACTTTGTCACTCCTGGAGTTGCTCCAACATTGCAAGCTCGACTCCTTTTCAGACTGTTGATAATGCTGCTCTTCCCGACATTTGGCAAACCTAGAATGAAACATAAAACATAACTACTGATAAGCATCAGTAAATTTATGAATTTGAATAATAGTTTCAACATTTATGGCAAATGAAAGGCCAGACGTCCATGTTGGTCTTCTGCATAGTAACACTGCGTGAACATGTATACAGATACCAACTTCAGCCCTGAAGATGGAGGCAGTATGTTCTCCTGAAACACTGGTATCTGCCTACAAGTATAGTGTTACAATCCAGAAGACTAATGCATCATTTTCACCACCGTGAGAACCTCAAATTTCAAATGGCCAGTTTATTGCACTTACCCACTACTCCAACAGATATAGAAGTTTTTATGCCCTTATTACGGCAATAATTAGCTAAAAGGGACATCACAAGCTCTGCCCCAAAGCATTTAGACCCCTGTAGCTCCTTGTTTTCAATGGACAGCTCATCTGTTATTTTCTTATCAGAAGCAGAAGCCTTCTTCAACTTTCTACGTCCCAGACGTCTGCTCTGCAGCTGTGTACTAGCTTTGAAAGGAACTGCTGGTAAACTTTTTCGAAGGTACTTCAGCCAAGCTTCCAGATTATCTCGTGGTACAAGATCTGTCAACATATGAAACCATTTTAAGATTCTCTGGGCTGTCCTGAATGCTGAACTATGAATACTACTAAAATAGTATTCTGTCACATTAATTTCTCACTGTGGGTAACGGGCCACTACATCAGACATGTACATAGGTTTCAATGCCTAATGTTTGGTAAGAGAAAAGTACTGTACAATGTTCTCACTGAATTCAGTAGATTGATGAAACAAGTTGGGCTATGTAAATTACAAACCTGCTTTATTAAGCACTAGAACAAGACGTTTATTGCCACTGCTGTCTAAAATGGCCTGTTCAACTTGTTTACATCGTGTTCCAAGAGGATCCCTTGCATCTACAACTTCTAGTACAACATCTGCTGCTTCCAAAACCTGAAAAATAACAACTGCAGAAAGCAATTCCTTTTGGAAAATGTAATAAAAGACATGACCACCATTCCCAGCATCAGCCTAAGAATAGATAAATACTTCAGTTGATAAAACTTACTGAAAACCCACAAAATCTTATGTTTTCTCACTTCAACAAAGCAAGCGCTGCAACACATAATAAGGTACTGTAGTTGAAAGAGAAATTGCTTGCAATATGATAATACTCTACTTTCTTGTGCATCTGATTATGATATACGGTAATCAGAATAAGCCCCTGTGACCTCAGGCCAAAGTCTGATCACCTCAACTATTCCTTCTCTTTCTCAAAAAATAGCAGACCATAAGTTACCTTTTTAAATTCTCGATAGTAAGCTTTAACTGAACTGTC